CCACCGCCCGCCTTCTGTAACAGGTAGAGGGAAGGGAAAATGATCTGTGGCCTGGGGCCGGCAAACGGGCAGCGCTGGGGTCTGTCTGCAGCCGAATTCCCACTCCCGCCCGTGATCTGGCTGCGCTGAAGGCAGGATGGAGGCGGGATGAAGGCAGGATGACTTTCCCGCAGCCCAAGAGGCGTTTAACCCCTGCTGCAGCATTGCTACGTGCTTTGCTGTCATCTCCAGAATATACCACCTCCTCTAAGCACCGTCCGCAGGGCCCTGTGCCGGCTGTGCCTGCCTGCGAGGAGCAGCACGCGGGGAGAGGTGAGAGGCTTTCCGTGCTCGGGACGCGCCGGTGCCTGGTGAAGGCGGGTTTGGTGCTGCCGCTGCGCTCTGCGAGGGGTTGGTTTGCAGCAGAGTGGGAATGTCAGCTTCCTCGCAGGCTGTGTGTCTACGGGGTGAATGCCAGACAGGTGTGGGGGAGACTTTGAGAGGGTTTTTCTCACGCTACGGCTGCTTACTATTGCTGGAGACATGGATGTGGAGAGGTAAAGGACAGGGAGGGTAAGACCCCCTGCCATCGAATTTTGGGCCTCCTAGGATGTCACATACAAAGCTGAACATTTAGTATGAATGGACATGAAAGAGTTGGATGTTGCCTGTACAGTGTATGTGGTGCAGGCACAAATCAGTATTTCCTGAAGCCCTGCAAAATTGCGGTTTGCTTTCTTGACATGCTGCCCGAAATCTTACCTGGAACCCCAACAGTGCCGCAGAGCGACGCAAAGGTAGCACAGGGGGACCTGGCTGATAACGTGTCCTACGTGGAGAGGTGTGTGGCTTGCAGGAGAGACCCTGAAAGGAGGGGCAGTTTGCATGCAGATGCAGCAAACCCAAACCTCTGCCCAGGTGAAAACATGCGTTTCTGGGGTGGTGAGACTGTCGTTGCATGGGGCGTTTTGTACTTTTTCATGTTAGTGGGTACAGGGTTGAGCTTTGTGCTGGGCTCTCAAGCAAAACTGCCTGAAATTAGATAGCAAAACATGCAGCGTGCAGACTGGGAGCATCATCCTGCCAGCACTGGGCAGGTTGGTGCACAGCCCCACGGTGCTCAGCCTCCAGGCTCTGGCCAGGCACACCTGGGAGCTCAGCTGTTAGCGGGGAAGATGAAGATGCAGCTGGAGCCCTCTTGACGAGCTTGTTTCTGTAGATACAAACTCAGTGTTTCAAAGCTCAGGTAGAATCTCATTTTTGTCACTGATACATTTTGTAGTGTTTAAACAGACAGCATCATTCTTTCCTGCCTCCTCTCAGTGCTGCTTGTAGCGCTTACTAACCATACCAGTGTTCCCCTCCTGTACCTGTCAGTGTAACCCTCCTATACTAGATACTTATACAGGGGAGAAGCAAATAATTAGAGGAAGCTAATTCCTCCACAGCTGTGAAACGCAGCACCAGGACGCTTGCTGAGGCAACACGGTGAGTTATCAGCAGGCTGCCCAGCTGCGGTCTGGTACCAAGAGTCAGGGGGAAACACCATTTTTCAAGCAGAGATAGATTTGTTTTGTAAAGCAGCAACATCACTTGCTGTGCAGTCTGGCCACACAGCCCCTGCCTAACTCCTCAGAGACCGCTTTCCCACATATCAGCCCCGTTTCTCTGCTTTGATCCATAAATTCTATTTACTTCTAAAGAAATTTAGGAGCGAAAGCTGTCGTCATCTGCCTGCAAGGAGTTAGTCAGCTTGCTGATGCCCCTCTTGCACTATCCACACCAATTCGTTTTCTGGGAGTTGCGTGAAATCTGAGTGTGGCCCCCAAGGAGAGCAGAACCCCGCAGTGAGGTCCTGCATGGCCAGCTGAGAGAAAAGTCCATCACATCAGCTCATGAAGCAGCATCGTAAGTGAAGCCCATAGGGCTTTCCAGCAGCCTGGGCTTCCCTTCGGCTGGGATGGGATGCTCACCCGTGGGCAGGTTGAGCTGTGTTTGCAGCACGGTCCGGCAGCTCGTGGCTGTGGGACCAAGGCCGGGCCCAGCTCGCTGCTCCCACCAGAGGTGGAATGCCACAGCCTGCAGAACGCCCTTGGTGCCCTAAAGCAGCTCTGGCCGTGTTCCTGCCCACGACGGTGCGGGTCGCACCTTGCGCCTGGCCAGTGCGAGCCCTGTCCCACATCCCTTGCCTGCGTTGGCCCGATGCCGTCCGGGGAGCTCACCTGCCACGGCAGTGACGTTGTCACCAGGCTGCAGGCAGTGTGCCGCCGTCACTACCCATTTCTCGTTGAGGATGGACGCGCCACAGAAGCCCACGCCTTGGCTGTTCACCAGATAAACCTGTGGGAGCAGAAGGAAATCACATCCATGCATCTGGGTAAATCACTGGAGAAGAAGAATGGGTTGCAGGTTTTGTCTGGCTGTGTTCAGGTTGTACAGACCCAGAGCTGCCAGAGATGCTGATCTGTGGGGTGTCCTGGCCCCTCTGTCCCCCACTCTGTCACAGAAGGTGGCCAGCGCTGCCCCGCACACATGTTAGTGTCCCATTGGGCTTCTCCTCCCTTTGCTGCCAGGCTGGGACGCCATAAACCTCAGCACGGAACTCTGAGCGCCCACAATACAAGCACTTCCACACGTACCTCCTGCAAGTGTTTTGTCAGTGACTAGATCTTAACTAGTTAACTAGGGATGAAATCTTAACTACCCACTTCATTTGGGCATTTAACAGCCTCAGCATTCATGGGGCACAAGCCAGGACATCCTTTATTCTATAACTTCTAATTGAATTGATCAGCTGACTCAGTGGGCTGTGTTTAAAAGGATTTCTTTATAATTCACCAATTTAATTCCTTCCACATGACGTGGCTCATCACTGTCTGCCTCCGACTTACCATGTATTTAGACTCTCGATGCCTGGTTAGGTAGAGACAGCTGCATTGCCCAGTATCCTTGACAAAGGGGATGAAGCTCACCCAGGGCAATGAACAACAGTGTGTGCGTCTCTCCTCCCGACCCACTGGGAACGCGCAGTGGGTGCCGGCATCACCTACAGTTTGCCCCACAAAAGGCTCTGCCAGAAAGCGCTGCGTGACTAGGGCAGCAGTACGGCCTCTTCCTTTCAGACACAAAACATAACGTCCCAACAACCCTCCTGTTGCTGATAATGTTCACCGTGTACGTCCCCTTGGCTATGAAATGTGGGGCAGATGCCGGCTCCTGCCCTACCTGCCTTCGCCCTGCTCACTGCTTCGCCCCCTCAGCAGACGCAGAGGGATCAGCTGAGCTGCGTGCATGGGCTTTTACATCCCTGTGTGGTCAACTTTACACTGACATCACTACTGCCAGTCTGTGCCAGAGCTTCCAACAGAGATTTGCTATTCCTAAAACCTCATCTGCATTTGTTTTGCATTCTCAGACACTGAGATTTCTGCACTTGCTGAAGCCAGAGTAGAATTTAAGGGCAGTAGATGAGTCTGAAAAAGATCCAGGCTAGGAGCTAACTTTCCTTTTGACAACAGTTTGAAGGTATTTGCAGGGTGGTGCATTGGAGGAGGTTTCTTTGCAGCCCCCCCCTTGCCTGTGGTATTGGACTGGTGAGTTAGAGATGACTACGATGCCACAAGTAGGATACGGGCTTGGGTAAAGAAAGAGCAGCTGGATTTGGTAGTTGTCTTAGAAGGACAGATCCTTTGTTGTTATAAGCTATGATGGATCTGTTGAAACTGATGGAGCTAAAAGAGGAGCTGTCTTGTTCTTCCTGAAGCTGCGCCTTGCGAAGCTCCCCTCCCTCAGCCTTCAGCGTAATCATGCTAAATTCATGGACTGCAGGTGAATCTGTTGCTGTAGCTCAAACCCGGATCCTTTGTACCCTGCAGATAAAGCTACCATGACTCTGACTTGTAGCTTTTTTGCTGAGGTAGACCCCCACCCAGGCAAGTTTTGTTTTTGCGGCATAAACCCATGTACAGAAGGAAGCTGTGCTCCTGTTAGACTTGAGACCTATTGCTAAGCTAACCGCAGAGATGGGCTTTGGGTGTGTGGAAGTAAGCTGGTTCTGCATTCAGAAGGAAATGAATAGACAGAGCAATTGCTGGGGTTGCGGGAGAGCTGCAGAAATAGCCAGTACCTGCCAAGGCACCTCGCCTCTCATGCTGTCCGATCCACCGACAACCCGGGTGCCCGTCTTAATTATCGGGATGATTTTCGTGGTGGCGACGGTGCTGGTTTCGGTGATGTTATCAAGCACCTCATCGTGAGCATCGTCCTGGTCATCGGTGGAGATGTTCCAGTGCTCAAAGGTGTTTATGGCCCGGGTGAGCTTGTTCTTCACTTCCGGAGCCGTGATCCTCCCGCAGGGATAGGGCACTGGGAGAGAAACAGTCATGGTTACGACCGGCTGCACGTCACGCTGAGAGTCACAGCAACCGAAGGAGCAGGCGAGGAGACAATGCTGCCTCGGCTCAGCACTGTGTTGGGACGGACACGGGGGCACAGGGCTGTGGGCTGACCTGTACGCTCTCGGTGCAAACAGATGCCTGTGCCTTTGAGCAGCAGCGCGGGTAATATGTTAAGGGTAACAAAAGCACAAATTGTTTCTGGGCTTTAGGAATTAATTCCAAACGTCTTTTCAAAAGAAGAGAGCGCATGTCTGACGGGACAGCGCGGCTGTGCCTTTATTTCGCGGGATGCTGGGGTGCGTTCCTGGGAAGCTTGCTGCGGTAGGCAGCCGGGCACTTGGCTGACATTTCTGAAGCAAGTACCTCCAGTACAATAAAAGTCCAGCTGGGAGAGGGCAGGAAATAGGATCTGCCAATTGTACAGATAATCCTGTTTGGCACCAAGGTGAGGAAAACATTAATAAACTCTTTCTAGAGTGGTAGATTTTCTCTGCTAATGAAGATCTCATCTGTAGGCTCCTTTCAGACGAGCTCTCCCCATTTCTCTCCTACGCAGTACATGCCGAATTCCTCCTGATCGTGGCAGTCAAAATAGTAAATAGCATCAGGCATTGTCTTTCATCTGAAAAGCTTTTGACAGTACTGTGCAAACAAATATTCGTGTAGAATCAGATGTAAGTGTGGCCTACTGAGATTTCGGGGGTTTTTTAAACAGTCCGCTTTAGGAATTGCCTTGGGCTTAAGTAAGTGTTGAGTGATGAAAGTGCTACCTGTGCAGGTTTTAGTTAAACCATGGCACTGTGACCTTAGGTTAGGAAATGAAGGCTTCGGAGCCAACAATAGCTAAGCTTTTGCAGGAAGGGCAGTTACCCAACCTGAAAGATGATCTTATTGCTAACAGTAAAACTTTCTGGTCCAGTGAAAGGTGATACAGCATGTTGGGCAACACAGGCCTGAGATCTTAATGATCTCCATCAACAGAAGTTCTCCCAGCCTAAGATACTTCCTGCACTGATTGCTGAAAGTCAGCACTTTCAGGAGGTCAAAGCATTCTCGGCTGTGGCTATCAGACCTGCAGAAACTAACTCACCTGTGCGGGTGCCTGCATGCTAGCTTAGGTGTGCAAATCTGTTACTCTCAGGTGTTAGAAATACGATAGCATCAAATGTTAAATTGAGCTTAGATGACAAAATATTTCTCTACTCTATCCTCTCTTTCCTCTGCCAGATGTGCTTCTGAGATGTTCAGGCCCAATTATCTTGCCGTGTTGTGGTGGGTTGGGATTGCACGTGTTGGTGTATTGTAATAGCCTAGGAGCAGGGTAGAGTTGGGAATGTAATGAGAACCAGCTGTTCTTTAGCCCTTCATGAAGTTGCAACCTCAAGCAATGCGTAACCCTCCCCCTCCGTCAATACCACAGCTAAATCTGAGTCTAGTTCCTGTTGAGGGTCTTTGTATGCAGATACACACTGTTGGGATCCACAACTAAGTAGTAACTCCTATTGGAAGAACACGGGAGTGACCTCGGGCTGGATGGACACCAGCATGTGTGGTGTCCACCATGTATGCTGGTGTAGCTGAACATCACGTTTCTGTCTCCAGAAAACTACTGACCCATATCTAGCAATACAAGATGGCTGCAAGTGGGAGAGCTGCCCTCACGAGTAGCCATTTGAAACAAGGATTTGCTTTGTGTGTAAATTCCCAGACGCCTACCCTCCTTCTCCACCCACCTAGGCTAAAAAAATGGCATTTAACTTGCATCCTTCAAGACTGACCCCACATCTGCTGTTGTAAAGTGCAGGGTCAGGCTCTTCACATCTGCTAAGCAGGAAAACAAGGCTGGTTTCCAACAGGATATTGCATTTCTGTGAGATTTGTGTATCTAAATCTGGGACAAGACCTTGGCCACTTTCACCCAAATCTCTTAAAAACACTTTAAAAGTTAACCTGCAGGTTCACAGGACTTTCCATCTTCATGAAGTCTATAGCCGGCGGCACAGGAACACACAACTTTATGCGGTGGGTCGTGCCTGCAGAAGTGCTTGCAGCCTCCATTTTTAATAGCACAAGTGAAGTCTGAAAGAAATTAAAACGAAACTGTGAAAGCTTTTTTGAAAAACTGGTTTACAACAGGTCTGTTCAGACTTGGGACTTTGGACTCAGCTTACAACCCACTCCGGTTGCTCCAAACTATGTAAAATGGTTGCTTGTTTGCAAGGAGAGTGTCCTCCTTCCAAATCTCGTCATGAAGGGGTGCCAGGCACCTCTTTGAGAAGGCGGGTTGAGGAAAAGTCCACAGGGCCCTATGCGAGGTCCTGCTGAGCCCTGGCGTTGCCTCCTGCCGCCAACAACTGCGTGCTGTCTGAAATTTGGCAGCCTGACCCTGAAGGACTCCTGCAAATATTTGGTTACGAGCCACGTGATTTCCCCACCGTCGTCCTGCTCTCCTCCCCCGCCGCGCTTATGACAATCGGCCCCGTGGAGAACGCTGCGTGTCAAACGGGAGTAAACCCTGAACCCTGGCAGGGCTTTGTCTCGGGATTATCACTGTGCTCTGTGTTTAAAATCTCAAGCAGAGCCATATGTCCTTCCCAACACAGAGACTGATCATGGCAGCCTGATGCCCAAGGCCCACTTCAGCCGGATGTTTGACGAGACGGGTCCCAACCCAAGGCACGGCGAGATGGCCATGACCTGCGTGTCTTCCCCCACCCCACCCTGGGCTCCTCCGTGGTGGGAACACCGTCTCCCGGAGGTGGGAAACCACTAACCCACAGATGCCCTTTTAATTCTCAGTGAGTTTTCAAATAATTCACAGCAGATTAACTCTACTCCTACTTCCTCAAGGACACCTCCCTTCCTGTAGCCATTTTAATGCCATCATTTACTATTTTTACAGAGCTCCTTTTCACGCCTCACTTCTAGTGCTATTTTTGCTCCCGTCTCACTTCCACGAGAAATCTGCAATGAGACTATTTAAATTTGATGCAGCTTTGAAATGCTCTTTTTAACGTACGCTCCTCTCTTGCCAGAGCAGAAGCACAACTAGAAAGAGAATCTTTTATTAGTGCAGTGAGTCTAGCACATTATGCGAGTCGCACAGCCCCTGATTATATTATAAATATAAGAGCTGAATATCCCTCTTGTTTAAATTATCAGCTGTTTGGTTTTCATAAACTCCTCAACCCATCAGGAAAATATTTGCCTTTTGTTTGCCTTCAGAATCAAGGTTGCTGGTGATAATTATAATTATGAATTTAGCAGAGTGCCGTTGGGAGGAGGTTGTGATAATCCTGCCCTGCTCAGCACCTGCTGCCCAGCCTGGTGTGGGATACGGAGAGGAGGGATGAGAGCATGCATGGGGGTCCCATGGGGTTCGGAAAACTCTTGCTTTCAACAGGTGAGCACTTCATCCCTGATTGACGAGCAGCCCCCGGAAAGGCTTGTGCTGGGGAGGTAAAGGAAGGTCTCTGTGTCAACATTTGCGCTGGCAGGCCCAGCGTGCTGAACAAAAGACCTTAAGCCTGAGGCTCTGTTGAACCCTACGTAAGAGCAGGCATCTCGGTGCTCAGTGGAGGTGGAGCTGGAGCTCCACCACAGACAGGAGAGGATGGAGACATCCGCTTCTATATCCCCAAGTATGTCCCCCTGTAATCCCATTGCTGGTGGGCTGAATTTGCACATTCTTACCGTGCTTAGAGCAAGGTAAATTGTGTCCAAAACAGCCCTCGAGTAGAATGATACTCTGTGCCCAATTTGATCTGGTGGATTTCAGGTAGAGGATAAAAGCCCCAGGTTGAGCCCCCAAAGCCCCAGCTTGAGCCCCCAGTACGTACCTATCTCACAGTTTCTGCCTTCGTACCCAGCTGGGCACCAGCACACATAGGAACTTACTCCATCCTTGCAAATGGCTCCATTTTTGCATGGGTTGGGGTCACACTGATCTCCATCTTGGAGAGAAGACAGGAGAATTAACAAGCATGAGTGTCCGCTGGTGGAGACCCAGCACTGGAGCCTTGCTCTCTGCAAGCCTCCTGTTAAAGATGAGCAAGAGACTGCACACCTTCCTTCTGTGTAGTGGAAAGTAAGTCAGGTCCTGCACCCAAGTGCACACTCGCCAACGTCAGTGCTGGGGTAACACCGGTAGCAGTGCATTACCCAGACTCCTAACTGTGTACCTTGTCCCACTTGAATTAGTTCTGCTCGTTTTGGCAGAGCTCTTCAGTCTCCCTCATGCACCATCTCAACAGGACCTCATGTCTTGGCTAAGGTAGACAAAGTTACGTTTGCTTCCTCCAGAGTGGTTAGGGTTTCCTAACCTCTTGAGTACTGCGCAAGGGGTGAGCTCCTGTGGGCTGCACATGTTGGGAATAGCAGCTTGCAAACTGGACAGTAAACCGAGCCCTTTGGATGATGGGGGAATATACGGCATTCATTATCTTTGGAGAGCTAATTGGTTACGGTGGCAGGGAAACAAACGTAATGCTGAATTTCATCAGTTGGTTTTTCAGAAGACATTCCTACAATGCAAAGTCCTACAAAGCACACTTCTTAAAAAATTTTATAGTCTGGACTGAATAATCTGAATTATTTAAGGCATTTTAGTGAGATGTTCTGGGCACTTCGCCAATCTACAAAGCAGTTCATTTACTGAAATGTCCTTAAAATTAGTTTCAGATGTTTTAGTGAGCATTGAAATCTTTCTGGTAAGGGACTGAGGAGTCGTCGGGGATGGAGGCTGAAAGGGGAAAAAATAGATGGTGAAAGAAAATGGTGGAGAGAAGCAAGGGTTTGGGATCACTGGTGTGAACTGCCAACAGCTTTTGGCTATGATCATGTTGAGGCTCCACTTTAATATGGCATTTCTAGGGATTCACACTGTGCTTGTGTGAGGCCGTGCCTTACCTGGAGATCTCTGCTTGAGAAGAGAGCATTTGCTGTTTGCTGAAGGGGTGTTAATTAATGCTGTTTTGCTCTATACCATGTCTGAATCTAGAAGCTCTGAGTGTCACCTGGGCTCAATGGATCCAGTGGTCTGTATGAACTGGTTGTGTTCTGTGAGGTTTTTGAAGTTTGCTCAAAAAAATCTGCTTGAATAAAGAAAATGGGAAGTAATTTTTTTTTTCCCCCTTTCCATTTGTACACAAACAGGACAGGCCCAGGCTGGGTGACTGCAGGATTTAGGGTGCCTGACTCTGACTAGCTCTGTCATCACAGTTTCTGAATGCTGAAGTACATGTGTTTCAATAAGCACCTGCTACATATGCACTGAGAAATGAATATGATGCATTTGAACATGAAGAAAGCAGCTCTTACCAATGTATGTTTTCCAAAACTCCATCTGCAAGGGAAAAAAAAAGCAAGTTTCCTTTGATACCTAATTTCTGGGCGCTGCCTGCCTGGAGTCATAAAGGGACGACTCCAAAGCTAAAAGCAGGAAAACCACCACCGTAATCCCAGTGGAGACCAACAAACCTTTAAAGCAGTTCCCCAGCCCAGCTGATGGATCACCAATGAGAATAGAACACAATAGATGCTGCACTTGGCCCCTGTGGGTTTTCCCCTCGCTGTTGCTCCTGCTTCCCCCTCTGTGCCTCACCTGAAAGGCTCGTAGGGGTGTGGGCTGGGGGGAACAAGGTGTTGCCATTTTGCAGCAGCGATACTCACTGTTTTCTCTGTGTTTTCAAACACTTCTCGGGCTTCTTCAAAGCTGCATTTTTCTTCTATGCATTCTCTCTCGAGGTTCCCCGGAATAACCTCTTCCAGCCTGTTTGAATTGGCTCGCTTTTGCCTGTGCAGAACCGAGTTTGCCTCTTTGTTCTCGATGAAGACTGCAATTTGAAAATAAACAGGGTCTAGAGGGGAGCATGCGCCGTCGTGTGATGTCTGGGATGGGCTGTCAAGGGTCTGTTCTCCCAGAAAACAAGCCCTTGTCATGCGCTCACCCCCCTGTGCCCCATGGCCGGGGACATTTCGGGAGCGTTACCATCTACTTTAGGTTTCTTTGGTGTCTAACTTATGTGCAATCCAGAGGATCAAATCTGGAGGATCAAGAGTCAAAGTAGTCGATAGAAATGACTGATGGCGAGAGGGTGATTAGGAGCACTGAAGTTCAATGCTTAAAATACGCACACCGTCTGCTTTAGGGAATCTCCTATCATAGATGCACAGACCAGAATAAGCTATTTGAGAGGAGAAATAATAGGATTTTTCATGCTGCTGCTTGGTGAGGTCTTGCTTGAACACAGAAATTGTTTTGCTTTAACTGTCTCTGCCTGTTTTGTCTGTGAAAGGCCATTTGCCCCTACAAGCAGCTGCGGCCCTTGGAAGCCACGGGCCATTTGCTTCTCTCCCTGCTCCTCACCCTTGCCTATGTGCCTGGGAACCCCAGTTTCTTGCTGGCAGGAGGGGTGACATGAGCCCTCCTCACCCCCTCGGTGAAGTCAATGAGCTGGTGTGCATCCGCCTTCAACCTGCTGGCCACGCTCCTGGGCAGAATCCACGGGCAGAGACCTCCTGTGGCTGCGGGGACCCTCAGCCTGGGCAGGATGTCTGCAGTGGCCACCCGCCTTCCCGTGGTGGCTGCCTGGTGAAGGACACAGGGACGTGCCGTCTCATCATGGTGCCACCATGAATGCTCTCCCGCAGGGCCACGCGTCCCATTGTCAGGGTCAGCTTCCCCGTGGCTGGGTTTGCTCCTGACCCACCTCTTGGAGACCCCCGCCTCTGCTGGGGGGGTCATTATTCACTCAGAGGAGGCTCCTGCTTTGCCCCCTCAGCCTCTCCTCTCTCTCCACCCTCTGTTCGCAGCCATGTCCCATGTTGTCACCAGATGGCACGGTAGAGCAGCTCTTCTTGGAGCTGCTGGTGGCCACCCTGGGCACAGACCCTTGCCTGGGGGCTCTGTGCTGGAGGGGTTTCAGGCACCTGTGGGGGTCAAGGGGAGCACGCGCTCAGCCGGGTGGGCAGAGAGGAGGGTGAGGGGCAAGTACCAGCTGCTTGTTCCTTCTCATGGCTACCCTCTGCTCTCGATCCAGAGCAGATCCCAGCCTCTCCAAACCCAGAGGGGGTCAGGTTTGTTGAACCGAATGAGCCCCGGGCAGGTTGGTCTTATTTATGCCATTCTGATGACGGTGTAACCAGCCCCTTCACCCAAAGATCTCTCTGCAAGAGTCTGAACTAATTGCTTCTGTGATGCTTTCATTCACTGTGCAGCAAGCTTGCACCTCTGCCTCCATCATGCTAGTGCGTTCTTGGTTAAAACCAAGAACTGCATTAAAATCCTGACCTTAATCTAATTGTTCAGCAGTAGATATTGATGGGTGAAGCACTGACCTCTGAAGAAGCCAGGCTTGTTTCAATCACTGCAACCTCTGTGGGGCGGCCAGCCCCCTCCCACCTGCAGCACTGTGGTTTACACGTGCGACATGAGCGTACACCCCCAAGCGAGCATCCCTGGCTGAGCGGGGGACGGAGGGTCTGGAGGCATAGCTTTGCTGGGTGAGACCTGCACCTTCTCCCCATGGCATGGGCTGCAGCCTCCAGCTTGTTCCCAGGCTGTGTAGAAAAGGCCCGGGTGAGAACAAAGGGGCAGCCTTCCTTGGGTTGTCACTCTGTTGTTACAGCACCTTCATGTGCTTAATGTCCAAGGAACCCGATGTGGGCACAGCTGCACATGGCCCCATGAGATGTGAGGCAGCTGCATTGGGCCCACTCCTTCATCTCTTCCCAGTGGGACGTGCCAGGCACCTGCCATAATTAACCCATTTAATGGAGAGAACATTTAACAAATGCAGCCTTGCCTCACCAGATCCCTCTAGGCTTTCTCAGTTGCTTACTGATCCCACGTGCTGCGTTAGAAGCAAAACTTGGTTTGAACTGAAGGTTGCAGGCCCCATGGGGTCACAGAGATGGTACTCACCCTCGCTGAAACCATCCTCACACCAAGGATACACTCAGACATGTCTTACCACCTTCTGAACCAGTGTCTGAGAAAGCGAGATGGGCCTCTGGGCCAAGGGGCTGTGGGGGGAAACCTCTCCTGCCAGCTATTATCATAAAATCATAGAATGGTTTGGCTTGACCTTAAAGATCACCCAGTTCCAACCCCCCTGCCATGGGCAGGGTCACC